GGTGTTCACACCACCACGTAACCTGTTACCTATCATTCCCTTTTACACAACTTGAGGTAGGTCTACTGACGTGTGAATAATGGTGTTTGTAATTGTGGCTGGTGGCTGTTATCTGATGTAGCTAATTATGTAATTTTAGTGATGTCTCAGTGAATTTGTTGAACACAAGGGTCACTTAACTAATGTTTCCCACAGAGTGACAGTGCGACTGTGGATTGGAGCGTCAACGGGGCATATTTCTATTTCTAGTAGGTTTTTATTCCACCATCGTAATTCTATTTTATTCTCCACCTTATTTGAGTGTTTATTCACTCACTACTCTGCTCACCTTGCCTTTTCCTTAAGTTCTCTTATACCCACACTAGGGATGGGCGGTTTTATACTGCGGGATTGATACTTCGCAAGTTCAAGCTATTCCTTTGGTATCGCTTCCTTTAACACATACAGAGAATAAAATGATATGAATACAAAACATGGGTGGCTGCATCACTTCCGAACGTTATCAGTACTTTTGTAAGATGTTTGTGCCAATAAACAGCCCTGGCCCGTGTCACTGTGGAAACCTGTTTGGCATGAGAAACTGAGCATGCAGCTTTTGTTTCTTACCTGTATTGTAACTGTCATACAGCAAACATATAGTGTCAAAAGACTTGTGACAAAAAAGTGCCACAAATAGTTTTAGTTGCTCTGGAGAAATCATGGCCTGTTTAAGAGGATGAAGATCTCAATGTAAATACAAATGTGCACATGTTTAATGGTATTTTAATTTATTTTATTCATATGTATGTTACACATACCATACCACATATCATAAGAAACGATCAATATCAGTAGTGGTATTGTTGAAGTTGTAACAAAATGTATCGGTATCCTATAGAATTAAAAAACAAAAACAAAAACAAAACAAAACAAAAAAACTTATCCCCCATGAACACACACACACTCTTACACCTCTTGTCTCTTACTGCCATGTAAAAACCAAGTAGAGTTTATTTAATATAGCACCTGTTACAGAACAAAGGCACAAAGTACTTTACAAGAGTACATTAATAATAGCCATATAGGTACAAATAATAAGAGACAATAAAACATAATCAGCAAGACAATTAAAAGAGTCTTCAAATGTTTTTTAAGGCATCAACAGAGACACAGAACGGAAGTCTAAGGGAAGAGCCTCCCACAGTGTCAGATGCACCACTTGAAATGCCTGATCAACTTTTGTTTTCAGCGGAGCATGTGGAACAAGTAATCACTAGTTTGAAGACCCAAGTGGTATGGGTGAAGCAGGTTGGAAATGTATCCAGGTGCCTGACCATGCAGGGCTCTATGTAAAAACAAGCACCTTAAACGGAGTCCTGAACCTGATAGGGAGCCAATGTAATGAAGACAGAATGGGTGTAATGTGACTTGTCCTGCTAGACTTGGTTAACAGCCTTGCAGCAGCATTCTGGACGTGTGTAGGCGGTCCAGGGACAACTTGCCTGAGGCAGGTGAAAAGGGAGTTACAGTAGTCTAACCAGGAGAAATTAATGCATGATCGTCTCTAGTTCTGATTTTGACAAATGGTTTAAGTCTGGCAATGTTTCTTAAATGAAGGAACATGTATTTTATCTATAACATAGAAAAAAACATAACACTAGTAAAACATAACACTGGAAAAATATTCCATATTGGCAAAATTATTTAATCTGATTCCTAAAAAGGTATGCAGCTTGCTGTAAGACACTTTCAGGCTAAAATTTACATTTAAAGTGATCATATATAAAGGTTATTTTGATGGTTTTGTTCCGTACATTTCAGCCAGCTAAACTTTTTTTGCTGATAGCATGTTGTTGAGGCTCTTCAGGGCGACGCCATCAGAAATTCGCTCGCTGCCAAGCTACGATGACCAGAACCTCTATGTAGCAGCAATGGAGGGTGGTGAGTATGTCCTGAAGATAATGAACTCAGGAAAGTAAGAACCCCCACACTGAGGTGCAGACCTATGCCATGTCCTTCCTGCACCAGAATGGACTTCCTGTCCAAACAGCGCTGCCCACAAACAGGCAAGATGGCGGCCAGAATGGTCAAAATCTTACAAGAGGTATAATGAAACCACCCCTGTGAAACATATCTAGTGTGTTTTTAAAAATTCCTGAATCTGTTGTGTCAAAGTGATGCACTACCTGGAGGACAGTTTAAAAATTTCTTGTGCAAAGTGACATTATCTTGTAGTGCCGGTGTTGGTTTGTGTCATGAAAGTATCATTATGCTACTCAATTGTCATGAAACATGCAAGGACCCTATTGAAACTGAAGGAGTTATCCGATCTGCTTTAACTTTATGGTGTGCATTCTCAAGGCACTGATGAAGAAAAGGTTCATGTCGCATGAAGGATCTTGTGCCTTGATACATAAAGATACAGACCTCTGGAAGGTTTGAGTCCTCATCGGATTCATGGGTGCCTTGTTTCAAATTTCTACTTTCTATGCTGTGATGTAATGAGACACAAGGGATAAAGAACTGAGCTACAGTACAATGTGTCAGGGTGTTGTGGTGGTTGAGCAGGTTGGACCCAAACGCAGGACACAGAGCAAGCGAGTGCAGTTCAAAGAAGGTTTAATTCCAACAAACAAAAGCGAGCACACTTACAACAGAGTAGCTGAATCCAGAATCCATAATCCATAATCCAAAAATAACAGAGTCCAAATAAACAGGTGATCCAACAGAAATCCAAATCCAGGGAAACAGGGTGACACGACTAGTAAGGTTGGCAGGCAACACACAGCAACATGGGACAGAGCGTCTACACACTACAATGATCGGACCAAGACTGAGGGGAAACCAGCAAGGATATACACACACACACAGGGTTAACGAGCTGGGAGGAGACACACAGGTGAGGGACATGAGGCTGATGAGACACAGGCAGGCAGAGAGACAACTGGGGAACAGACGAAACACTTTACAAGCAGACATGGGGCAAAATAACAACCAACAGAAGAACACAGACCAGGAGTAAACACTCAAGACATGAACTAATGTACAGGACTAAGAACTAAGACACCAAACTAGGAACTAAGATACGAGACAAGACAAATACTAAGTAACTTAAAGATGCAGATGAATAATAATAATCACAGGACTAAGAACTAACTAAACAAGACTACACGGAGAAACACAGAACCAAAAGTGGACTTAAACAGGAAAGACATGAACATAAAACCATACTCCTAACACAGTGCAAAAGTGTGTCCTCTGTAGCAGATCTTATGCCTTACATAATGTACCCGGTTTATCAAGCAGAAAGACTACATTAATGTTCAGGTCACATGTCAGTTATGTCTCGCTATATTGTATTTACATACAAGACCATGTTGCAGTTTGGCTTTAACTGGGTTCAAAGGTTAACCATTTATATATTTATACTGTTCCATTTATCTCAATAAATAACAGGAAATAGTTAAATGCTGTTCAGTATGTATACTTAAAGTGTGTATGAGTTTGGTGGTGAGTAACATATGTGGTACAACTGTGTTGGTAGTTTTTGACTCTAGTCTATTTCTTCGAAACAGAAAACATTCTTACCAACATCTTAAACATCAGAAGTAGAACAACATTTCACACTAGAAATGCATACTGGTAAATGAGATAGATAAACTGCTGAACCATTAAAAGCCAACTGGAACTATCTAACGGTATATAATGGGAGATATTGTGTCCCTAGCGTACACAGAAGCAGTACATCTCTGATCTTGGTGACCCCAGGAAATATTCATGACACATGTAGTCATGTTAGAATATTGAAATAGTTTACATATAATATATGTTATGTTAATCTCTATCTATTCATTTACTGACTAATGGGCATCTCTACAATTGGACAGTAGATAACTTGTATGTTTTTTTGACCTTGCATTGTAAAACATGTCAAGAGGACATTGATCAGTGTAGTTACTGCTTAAGTCACATCTATTAGAAACTATGAACAATGTTTTAGAACCGCTCCACATCAAGCCAACTGTTCTGTGGACAAACGGATCCAAAGGCTTACCTCGTTGTGGTGAACTGTTTTGTCTTTTAGGGGTCCCTTAGGTGCCATACTGTACATGCAAACAGAAAAACAGCCCATCTCACTGAAACAGGGAAATTAGAAATCCATGCAGCTTGATCTTGTGGGGATGGATTCAGTAATATACCTAAAAATGCATATGAATCTTGATTATGATTTGTTTTTAACATTTTCTTCCAGTCAGATACACCAGTTGGCTACTGTACTTCATGTTTTAAAATGTATAGGTTGGCCTGTTTTCATCCTATAATGTATTAAAATAATGACACCATTAGCATTAAATCTCCTTACAAAAAAATAAATATTGTAATAGTATCTAAACTATGACCACTAGAGGGTGCAGTTCATTCAAAACCAGGAGCTGGAAATTCCTTGTTTGGTTGTCATGTTAACATGTAATTGTGAAGTTCTGAGAAAAAGCAAGAAACAAATACGGGAGCTATGTTTCCTGAGCCACTGTAAGGCTCTATGTTTATGAGATTTACCCATTGTAAAATGCTTTTAAACATTCTGCAGGTAATGGAGTTAAGTCTGTTGTAGTGAATGTTAATAATCAATCACTTTACAGAACACGTTCCATTACATTCAGGATGGTGTTTTAATTTGTGAAAATTGCTTCATTCTCACTGGCCCAAGTGTCCCAACAGTTTCAGATAACAAGGCTGCACAAACTGCTCTAATCCAACAAAATCCAAAGAAAACAACATACTCATCCAATTCAGAATGGCTTAAAGGCATGCAGAAAACCTGTAAACAAATGATATTACATTTAATCTGAAAAATCCTTATATATAAATTTCTCATGTTTGCGCCCCTGTCATGTTTAGTCTCAATTAAGCCTATACTGTACGAAGTGCCCCAGATTACTAAACAAAAAAGTCAACAGTCCGCTCCATTAGAATGAGACGTTCTGCCGGAGCAACATAAATTTATCAGTAGTTTGGTGAAATGTGTAACCTTCTCTGGAGGCTTATATTAAGTCAATCGACTAATTGCAGAGATCCACTCATCTGTGAGTGATTGTATTTGAATAGTGATTGATAAAACAGTTTTTTAAATGATCAACAGGTGTTTTTGGTTTATAATGTGTCAACAACTTCCCTTGTATTTGTGACAGTTGAGGCCAAAACAAACACAAAGGTATGCCCGTGGCTGTTGTTGGGTCAATTTGCCTACTAGAGAATATAATAAGAATATAATAAAATGATGCTGTGTGTCTTTTAGGGATGCGATGGTTAAGAGTGTTAGTGTGCTCACTAATAGTGTTTGCTAATTAGCACTAAACTGAAAGTACAGCTGAGGCTAATGGGAATGTCATTAGTTTGGCAGGTATTAATTCATAAACCATAGTATTGTAAATTACTTTTTTCACTTGATGAAAGGTTAAGGAATTATCAAAATCTATTACAATTCATCACGTTAGACTATCAAGTCGGCGAAAGTCAGCCGCCGTCATCTCGAACGCAGCATAAACATGGATGTAGTCTCTATGATGTCACCCGTGGGTTTCTGAAGAGCGATTGTGAAGCCCAGTGTGGGTGGCTCAGCCCATCGCCATCTTGTAATTTTATGTTAAAATAACATCTTCAAAATCATTTTGATGGTACACTGACCACCCTTTGCCTTTAAAACAGCCTCAATATTATATAATATTATATAATATACTGTATATATTATATATAATAATATAATATCATATATTGATTTGGTTTTCTTCTGTTTACTCACTTTGCATTTTGGTAATTTATAGTCTATCAAAATTTCTATCTTGGAAAGCATTCTTACTTTATAGCATTTTTTCTACACCTGCCTATAACTCTGGCACATAGACTGTATGGCACAGTACTGTGTATCAAATCTAATCTGGGATGCTCATGTTACAAGGTTATGTAGACAATTGTGATGTATTCATTTCTCGCAACTATATAATAGCCAACATACCTAAATCAATTACTATTACTTTCAATTAAATTACTACTTACTTAAATCAAACAGCTTTCACCGTTTAAAAACGTCAACAATCAGCTAATGGCGCCATTATTGATATAATGTGACATAGTCAATAAACTAAGTCACATTAAACCTAAACTGTGTGTCTTGAAGACAATCAAATGTCTAACTTGTAAATGATCTAATTCATTCATTGATGGGTCTGTCAAAAACAAAGAACAGCTTTCTTGAATTCTAATGTAAACTTGTAAAATAGCTAGTTACTAACATATAAAATATCTGCTGAAAATGTGCTTCCCACCAACCTGAATCAGATGCAACATTTTAACACTAAGTATTTATGGAAGATTTAAATGGACTTTAATATTTGTAACCCACAGGAAAATCTACAAATGTGTACATTTGTAAGTTCCTTTTTACACTTTTGTGGAATTTTGTCCAATGTGTACTGTGGAGATCTGTAAATAAACATATACACAAATATCTCACAACCTAAAACATGTATTTTTACATTTGTGTTGTGTAAAATCATATCCACAAAAATACAGTGTGATTTGCATATACACACAATTAAATCTGTACAAAGATCTTTTTTGTTCACATACATAGTGTGATTTACACATTTGTGGTTCCATTTCTACACACAAAACTGTTTTTACACATTTGCGGATTGCTTCCTGTCAATTTGCAGGTCACGTGACATTTGTAACCTCCCTTTTACACATTTGTGGAATTTTGTCCACTGTGTCCCGCTGAGATCTGTAAACAGAGATGTGTAAGTTTGAGAGCAATTTACTAGCTTTACCAGCAGGTGGCGACATTCTCTCCCGTGAATGGAAAGGATATTCATGGCACCAGAGCCCTCTGCAGGACACTAGCTAGCGTCAACTTCATCTGTAGAGACAACAAGGAAAAAGGACTGTAGCCTTGTTTCAACCAGCAGCGGAAAAATAAATCGGGTTCATCCTTGTCACCTCAAGGTAAGTCTGCTGTCCAGTTTGCTAACTTTGTGTCTCCTGTGGTGAGTTAGCTGTGTAACGTTAGCCCACCTTAGACCTAACAAACTCATATTAAATCATTTAGTTCACCTGGAGAGATTTTATGATTTTGACAATAATTGGTTATTCCCTCTACATCTGGAATTAGCATACCAATCTCTTATATAGCCTCCATTTACCGCAGTCTGATTTAAATTTAAAATCATTTTTGATTGAGGAGATTTTTTGAGGAGCATATATTTGTGCAGCACCTCCTTGCTTGCTCCCTCTCTCTCTACACCTCTACTGTTGTGTGATATCACAACATACTACACTTAGACAGAATAACTGACATAAATAAAAGAAAGTCACCATTTCAAGATATGCAACAAAGGAAGTGACACCAAATAAATTAATATTAGTTCACTCTAACTTAAAATGTAGTCCTATTAATTATTATTTAGTGCATCAAATGTCACTTGGTGCTTCAAATGGTTTCACCATCAAATCCCTGCAAACCGGGGGTCAAACTAAATCAGCTGTCTGGTCAAAGATCTCACATCTTTTATAGTTAATGTCAAAAATAAAATAATAATAAAATATACCTATAGTACATGAGTTGAAGAAGACAGTGATTTGGTTGCTCTTTTTCTTTGGAGGGAGACAAACAGCAACAGCTAAATATTTTAACACAACGACACTGAACCAGTGAGGCACCACACTGGAGTTGCTGGACTGGATACTAGTGATTAACACTGTCTCCAGCAGGCTGGCCACCATCAGAGAGAGACTGATGGAGAAGAAAATGACTGCAAGAAAACAACAACAGCAAAATTTCAGTACACTTTTAATTTCCAAGCGGTGGCTTTGAGGAAGAGCAGGTTGCCCACTAAATTGAAGATTGGTGGCTCGATCCGTGGCTCCCCCCACCCTCTATGTCAAAGTGTCCTTGGGCAAGATACTGAACCCCAGATTAATGTTGAATTTCTTTCTGATGAGCAGTTGGCACGTTGCGTGGAAACCTCTGCCATCAGTATATTAAATATGTGTGAATTGGGCGAACGTGACATGTAACAAAAGCACTTTAAGTGGTCAGAAGACTAGAAAGCTGCTATACGTGGACGGTCACATTAAGTCCTGTATGAATTTCATAATGATGTAGGCCCTATGCATGTTCCTTCAATTTTCTCTGGAATAAGATCACAGGTGTCACTCACTGGTGAGAGGTGTCGTGTCCCCGGTGGAAGGCAGCAGCTCGTTCATGATGAGCAGGAAAACTGTGTAGTCCAGGATGAGGGTCATCTTGAAAGAGGATCGGTCCACACTGTGGGGAGGCAGCAGGACGCTGAAGAGGTCCACTGCGATGAGGAAGCAACTGCAGATCAGGAGGTTCACCACATAGGCCTTCTTCTTAGAATGAACTTGTGAAAAGAAACAAGTACCACGCTTCAAGATTTATCTTAATTTCTTTCTGAATTCGTTTGCTAAAGGATTCACTTTAGGTTTCTTGTCACATGTAAGTGTGTTATCCTGCAAATGCTGACGGTGATGTTTATGGCATTTTCACATTTTGACTTTAACTCACCACTGACTACATTTAGTAATATTGGTATAACTGCTATGAAAGTTGCCAAGAGGTCCGCCTGCGTTCAGCAGACCACACAGTTATGTATTACTACCATCAATCTGGTAAGGTGTGGGACACTGTAAAAAAAATCTGTACTTTGACAGTTTTATTCCTTTTTATTTCACAGATTTTTCCTGTATTTCTGAAATACATGAAAATATCAAAAAAATTACAAAAATAAACTATGAATTTACATGTCTAATGTAAAATAACATGAAAAACATGTAGCTGTGAATAACCATAACATTTCTGTTATCTTAAGGAAACTTTTGGGGTTTTTCATGTAAACAAACTGTTACAATACATCAGTATATAGTGTCTACAAGTATTGTTAAACTGTCAAAACACAGTTTTGATCATTGAAAACAGCCATAATTACTGTAATTTCACATATATACATACATATAATTGCCCCAAAGTGGTAAAATTACAGAAAGGTAATATTTAATTTATTGTTAAATGACAGGCGTTCACACCTTTTAATGGGGTTAAAAAAGAAAACTTCCTGTAAAATTACGGGTTTGTGATGAAAAATGTATCTTCGATTGAAGAGTCTTAGCTATAGGTGTATTATCAAACCTAAAACAAACATATTTAAATCCTGTTTTTTAATAATTAAAAATTAGCACATGTTCACATAAGAGCAATATATTTCCATTTATCAGAAACCTATTTTGAGTTATCTTGTACTAGGGTTATTTGTGACAGTTTCAGACTTCCTTAAATTTGCTTAATTTGAGGATACTCAGACATTTATTCATTTTAGCTGAGGCTTTTATCCAAAACGATTTACAATTGAGATCGCACACCTCTGGAGCAGCTAAGGTTTAAGTGTCTTGCTCAAGGACACACTGGTGGATGGGTCACAGTGGGAGACTGAACCCAGGTTTTTCACACCAAAGGCATGTGTCTTATCCACTGCACCATCACCACCCCTGTTGGCTGCAACCAACATAAAGAATATTTTGGATACTGTTAGACACAGCTTCGAGATTAAAGTGCAATCTGAATGTAAAGTAATTGGAAAATATTTCTTAAAACGCTGGCATTTTGCTTTGATAGGACTGTACAGAGACATGAAAGGCAAAGGAGAGGGGAAAATGGTGGTTTTACATACAATGAACTTAATGCACAATCCAAAGACTTCTTCCCTGGTTTCAATATGTTATATTATTACGTTACTGTCGTGGAAATTGTATATTGCTGGTGAGGGATAAAGCAAATAATTGAGTAACAATAAACTGTTGTCTTTGAGGAATTTATTAATAAAAGAGAATAAACAGAGAAGTACTATAACACATATACAGCTGGTCGAGAGACCTAGAGCAGCTTCGGGCACCTGGCCCAGAGCAGAGGTGACTGTGTAAATGATTATGCCATTTACACAGTCTAGGTTTCTATGTTTTGGAGAACAGAGATCCTCTCCCAGCCTTGAATGAACATTCGAGGAGAGGAACAACAAGAGGGGAAAACACTAAACAATCTCACAGCTCTGACCTAAACCCTACATGTGTGTACAGATATAATGACTAAACAGACTAATAAAGAGTATATTAATAATAAGGAAATAGGTTAACATGTGTGTGTGTGTATATATATATATATATGTGTGTGTGTGTGTGTGTGTATATATATACAATTTTCTGCCAAAACAGTTACAAGACGCAAACATAGTAGATATTTTACAAGCATGGGCCAGATAAAGCAATAGTCGTCATTCAATCACTTCTATTGGCGGGTGGAAACGCCCACAAGACTTGTTCTGTGTCTTTTCGGTGACTTTATAAAACATACTGCTGATGGAGACAGTCAACAGAGCCTATGTGTTTGCAGCGTATTAGGTCACTTGTGTCAGCTATACATGTTAAAACAAATGTTATTTAAAGGCTGACCTCAGGAATCTTGGTGTTACAGTATGTTTGACCAAGCCAAGTACTTTGATCAACATATCAAAGCTTTGAACCACAGATATTTTTTTAATTTAAGAAACATTGCCAGACTCAAACCTGTCGTCGTTACAATGGCCTGTCAGTTTCAGGACTCACTTTAAGGTGCTCGTTTTCACATATAGAACCCTGCATGGTCAGGCCCCTGGCTGCATTTCCGACCAGCTTCACCCTTACATGGGGCTGTGGCTCAGGAGGTAGAGCGGGTTGGCTGTTAATCGGAAGGTCGGCGGTTCAATCCCTGGCTCCCCCTGGTTGCGTGTCGAAGTGTCCTTGGGCAAGTAGTGGTGGTAGTAGTAGTCCTTGTAGTGTGTAATAAAAAAATTTACTTACATCAGCTCCAGGCCACTTGGGTCTTCAAACCAGGGCTGACTAGTTGTTCCACATGGTTCACTGAAAACAAAATGTGATTGTGCATTTCAAAGGGTGCCTCTGACATTGTAGAATGCTCTTCCCGTAGACTTATGTTCCACAGTCTTTTCCTTTAAAAAACATTTGAAAACTCTTTTATTTAAGTCAACATTTGTCTCAACCCTAACCCTGCTACATGCGTAGCCTACAGCGTAGACCCAACGCAGAAGTATAAATCACGCTTTAGTATTCACTAGGTTTATCACAGGAGCAGGCAACAGCAAAGGAAACTATCCCACAATGTGCATGTTTTCTATGCTACAAGTATATATTTAGAATAAATGACTGCACCAAGGAGAGGGACATAGTTTCATTAATAATTTGTTTATTATTCAAAAGGAAATAAATTGTATTAATTATTTTGGTGTTATTGGAATACATAACACTAGAAAATCAACAAAAACCTTCACTCTAAATTGTGGCATTGGGTTGCAGTTATGATTAAAATAAATGTTATTTAAATACTTTTTTTTTACTTTTTGTTTCAGAAGCAAGATGCCAAATGAGTAAAGACAACCGTCAGCTTCACACAGCCAAGCAACAGAATACTGAATTGCCTGAATACATTAATGTATTAATCAAATACATTATGTAAATTATACCTAAACTAAATTATACCTAATATTCCTGTGGAATAATAGAGGTGCATTTATATGCCTGCTTCACATAATGTGTCTGTGTGTGTATAGATGCGCGTGTGTGGGTGCGTGTCAATTGATATGATACAATATGAAATTGTTAAAAAACAAAATTAACCTTAATTCAGTATCTTAATGTTTTAATATATAATAATAGTAACTGCTTATATGCATTGCTTAATCAGTCAAGCAATCTTAAATCTATATGGTCATGATTTTTAAATGAACTCAAAATGATTGAAAATTTTAAAATGTTCTGGAAATGCTTTATGTAGCCTACTGTTATTTGTTATAAAAACATTTAGAATGATAGAAGATGACCTTTGGTTTGAAGGTTTAATACATAGCAGTTTGCTGCCTAACCACAGGAGCCTGCAGATACAATAGTTTGATGTTTTTGGGTTATGATAAAATCAGGGCCCTGTTGCAAGCAGGTTTAACAAACTCTGAACTTAACTCTAAGCTCTGAGTTGATTGAGCCTGAGATGTGAAACTCCGAGTTTTCTGTTTCAGAAAAGTTGATCAGAATTAGTCCAATCAACTCTGAGTATGTTGAACCTGATGGAAGTGAGTGCGTGGGGATGAAAAAAAGACATCATCAATGGAGCTCTGATACTATGATTCACCATGGCAACGGGTAAATAAAGGCAGAGCCTCCATTTTAATCGGGTGGATCTAGAAATATGAATGCGTACCAACGCGGACCATGATAGGCTATTAATGTTAAAACGCAGGAGTGGAGGAAGGATCAATAACAATAGACTATTACATTTTATTCAGCGTTGCTCATTCATCATTTACCAGACGATGTGATGTTCCCCAGCTTCCCCTGCTGACTCCTGTCAGTCAGGAAGTTTGTGATCCACTGACAGGTGGAGGCTGGCATAGTGAGCTGGGTGAGTTTGGTGCTGAGGATGTCCGGGATGATGGTGTTGAACGCCGAGCTGAAGTCCATGAACAGGATCCTTGCATATGTCCCTGGAGAGTCGAGGTGTTGCAGGATGTAATGCAGACCCAAGTTGACAGCATCATCCACTGACCTGTTAGCCCTGTAGGCAAACTGCAGGGGGTCCAGCAAGGGGCCGGTAATGTCCTTCAGGTGAAACACCAGTCTTTCAAAGAACTTCATGACTACAGATGTCAGGGCGACAGGGCTGTAGTCATTTAATCCAGAGATGGAGGGTTTTTTGGGGACCGGGATGATTGTGGAGTGATTGAAGCAGGAGGAAACTTCACACAGCTCCAGTGATCTGTTGAAGATCTGTGAGAAGATGGGGGCCAGCTGGTCTACACAGATTTTCAGGCAGGATGGAGCTTTCATGATCTTCTGCCTCTGGAAGAGCTGGCGCACATCCTCTTCACAAAATTGTGAGTGCAGGTGAGGGGTCAGAGAGGGAGGGTGACTGTTGAAGATGGTGGTGCGGGGGAGTGGTGTGACATTCATTACATTCATTTTACATAGGCTACAGGCCTATTTATTAATCTCGCTGAGATGTTGGTGATGCCGGAATCCATTGATTAGACTATGCAGCTAATGAAAAACTCACTTTTAAACTAGGCTACATTTATTTGTTTCAGCTGCACCACAGTCATCCTCACTCTGAAATATTCACATCATATCCAGTTGATAACTACAATAGGAACGTTCCAATCAGTGTGTAGGGACCCTTTGCCTATCAAAAAGGCCACTACAGTTGCGGACTGGATGATTGTGTTATTTATGATGCGTGCACTAATGATCCAATGTCCAATATTGCAAGTACATTCATAGGTATAAAATCAAAGGAAATACAATAACTCCACTGTCATTCCTCTCTATCTCATACACGAC